ACACTAATACCCTTAGGCTGACGAAGCTGCAAGCCTGTAAGGTATATATACAGAGGTATTGAAATATTTAATTATTCAACAAAACTCGACTAAAACTAAAAGTAGCAAAATTGCAATAAATGTCGTGATGGTGATATTGTTTTATAGCCAGAATCACTCTAATACCAAATAACTTTTTTTTCAGTTTTAAGTAAAGTAAAGTTGCAGCCTATTTACGTCCCACTGCTGGGCACAGGCCTCCTCTCATTTCTGAGAGGGTTTTAGGGCAAGGAAATGTCCACCGCGCTGCCCCAATACGTGTTGGCGAACTTCACATGTCATCGAAATATTATTTTTTATTTCTCAAACATGCAGGTTTCCTCACGATTTTTTCCTTCACCGCCGAGCACGTGGTAAATCAGCACTTAAAATTGCAATTGACAATTTCATTGGTGCCGGCGGGGATCGAACCCGGGTTGCTCGAGTACTGTGAAGCTTACAGCGAGCGCTAACCATCTGAGCTACCACGGCTCAGGCTTCAGTTTTAAGATAGGGATAATAACATCGATGTTGGCATCGCCAGCTCAACATCGATGTTCGATGTTTAGGCCACTCAAAACATCGATGTTGACCATTATCGATGGTTTTTGTATATGTGTAGATAGTTACACATTGTTTTAAAATTATGTGGGTATACACAGCAAGGAAAAAGTAACAATTAACTTGAATATCAATTTACGTAGAATAGTTATTATGCGACAACCGACAACGACACTACAAAATAAAGCGAATCAGTGACCATTGTGACATTACAGGAGACACTTGACAATTAAGTTTGACTCACCATACTGACATTTTTTTAGATTAACGATGCGTTCAGAAATTCTGAATTATTCAAAATTTTTAATCTTCAGAGCAGATGCAAGATTTAGTTGATATTGATTTCGCGAGTTCGCATTGTTTGCAAGTTCCCAATTATCGATTATGGGTTCATTGACGTCGATGTTTCGATGTTTGACATATGTCAACATCGATGTTAAAACATCGAAGTTTTAATTTTTAACATCGATGATCATCTAACATCCCTATTTTAAGTGTGTTTCCCACTCAGCGTGTGTTATGCGACGATCGTAAATAAAGCGCAAGGTCAAACTTTACGCGTCAGTACTGATTGTTTTGCACATGGCCAGCTCTATATTGCTTTTTCTCGCGTTAGTAGTCCCCGTAACCTTTTTCTGTACGCCCCGGCTAAGTCTACTTCTATCGTCGTTTACACAGAAGCTCTATCATAAACGACTTAGAACTTTGAGAATATCGATTTATTTTGTTACCACTTATTCATAGAGTAATGATATAAATCGGTTAATATTCTCTTACCCTAAACGTCAAATTCTTTAAGTAAAACCTATATTCGCGAGCTACGCCGCGGGCACAGCTAGTCAAACATAAACTTATACAAGACACAAACATACCCTACTGCGAATATACGCCACACACTGTTTTAGAAAATCCTACACACAAACTCTACTACGACCGCGCCATACTTACCGATAGGACCATTCACTATAATAGACGAGACATAACACTACACGATAAAGTAAGTAAAATCACCTACCTAATAGATATTGCAATACCCAACACACATAACTTACAAAAAACAATAGGCGAGAAGATAAGCAAATATGCAGAGCTTAAAGAAAAAGTGACCAGAATTTGGAGACAAAATAAAGTTTATATAGTACCCATAGTCGTCTCCACCACGGGCGTTATACCCAACCATCTCCACTATAGCCTCAAATTAATAGACCTGAAAGACTCAATATACATTATACTCCAAAAAGCCGCAATTTTAAATACCTGTCGAATTGTAAGAAAATTCATGCAATTGGCAATTGGGAGAAAATTAAATAGTTACCCAGAACACATAACCTACATAAATACTCACTCCATGCTGCATTTACTTGGCTTCGGCCCGTATGTGCAGTAAAAAGTAGCCAAAGAGCTAAGAGACAGAAATGTTTTCCCTATCATAATAATAATAAATTGCGTAGGGAAGTGACGACCCCATCGCCCGCTGACGTAACAGTTAAGTGACAAAACTGCTACGTCGGTGCAATCAGTCAGCACCTTGCCAAGCGGTGTTAGCGCCGTGCCTCGGCAAAATTGAGGGTGCAAAGCCCCGTTTGTGCATATAGCTCCATCATGAAACGTGCTACTAGACACAGTAGCGCCATCCCAGCCTGGAGAAGAAGGATTGAGGACCGTATCGCAAAGGCAAGGGCCCTCATCGGCAGACTGATAAGCTTCAGGTCGGGCAATAATTGTGCGCACCGCCAGGATGGCGTTTGCTGGGACAAACATCAGTTTGTCCTAGCAAACGCCAACACCTAAAGCAGAGAATCGCTGCTTGGAGGAAGCGGATTCGGCGATACACCGATAGGTCAACACGGTTCAACCTGAATCGTCTCTTCCAGAGTGATCAGAAGAGGCTCTGTAAATAATTGGAGCGGCCAATGGTACGTGGAACGGGCCCAGCACCGAATCAGGCCGACACTATCACTCGCATTCTAGCGCGGCCTGTGGTCAGAGCCCGTAAACCACAGCGAGGGTCCTTGGACGGAAGTTGTGGCGAGTCAGTGTGCGAATATTACGCCCATGGACCCTGTCATCATAACGCCGGATGACGTAGCTGAGGCGGTCAATAGGGCCTGGCTGAACGGGTTCGTGGTGTGTCACGCTGTGCTCGCCCGACAGTTTCAAGAGGCTCTCGACCAAAAGTCGCTCCCGAGCCTCTTCACTACTGGGATCACTCATTTGGTTCCTAAAGACCGGGATTCCACAGACCCGAGCAAATACTGCCCCATAACGTGTCTACCTACCATATACAAGACACTAACATCCATTTTGAGCGCGAGAATCACTCGTAACCTGAACTGAAATCAGGTGATGTTGGCTCAGAATGGATGTCGGGGCGGTGGTCGTGGAACCAAGGAACCACTCCCCATTGACGCGGTCATTGGCAAGGTGGTTAAACGCAACCGTCGGAACCTCGCCGCCTCATGGATAGACTATAAAAAGGCATTCGACTCGGTGCCTCATACATGGCTTAAGAGGGTCCTCGAGCTGTATAAGGTTAATTGCACAGTTCGAGACTTCCTCGGGCAGTGTATGGGGCAATGGAGTACGATCCTTTGTCATCTAGGTGAGCGGATGACGGCTGTGGAGAACCACATAAGGATAAGAAAGGGTATCTTCCAGGGCGATTGTTATGAGGCGGGTATGAAACAGTCAGTTTGCGATGTGTTTTATGCACGCTTGACCAAAGTGCTTAACAGCCTTTTGTCCGGTGTGAATAAGACGGTAAGATGGTATATAACGGTTGGATCATGCCTGTTCTCATGTATACCTTTGGCATGCTCAGGTGGACTCAGACCGAACTGAACGCTCTGGACTGAAAAGTCCGCACTATATTGACGTCCCACAGGATGCATCATCCGAGATCGTCTGTAATGAGGCTGTACTTGCCGTGGAAGCATGGTGGGCGCAGCTTTTTAAGTGCGCTTACCATGCATAATCGCGAAGTGTGCAGCCTCCGTAATTACATTCTGACGAGAGCGGATGATCCATACTATAGGGACGTTATTTCTAGTGATAAAGGACTTACCCCTCTATCCTTAGTCAACGAGCAATGGCCAGACCCGGCAGTACAGAGCATTTCCGACCGGGAGACCGTATGCAAGGAGAAGGAGCTCCACGGGAGGTTCTACAAGGCTCTACATGAGCTTTTCGTAGACACAGTCGCCTCCCTCCACTGGCTATGTTTCGGTGACCTCTTTGGGGAAACTGAGGGTTTTGTCTGTGCGATAGAGGATGAGGTTAATAAGACCAACAATTATCGGAGATACATCCTAAAGGATGGCTCCGTTAAGTCTGTCGAACTTGTCGCCATTGCGGTGAGTCACTTAGGCATGTCATCTCCGGTTGTTCGGCGCTTTCTAACTTGGAGTATTTGCACAGGCACAACGTAGTAGCCAGGATTCTACACCAGGAGCTCGCTCTGAAATACGGTCTCGTGGATCGGAAACTGCCGTATTATATAAGTACTTGCCGGAAGTCGTGCTCGAAAATTACCGCGCCAGGCTCTACTGGGACCGGGCCATCATCACAGACAGGACTATTTTTGCGAATAAGCCTGATATTGTGCTGATGGACCGGGCACAGTCAAGGATATTTTTGGTCGACATTACCATTCCTTATGACGAGAACCTCGTGAAAGCCGAAACAGATAAGCTGATAAAATATCTGGACCTGGCTCACGAGGTGACCGACATGTGGGGTGGATTGCCGGCCGAAATTATACCTGTAGTCGTCTTTGCGAATGGGTTAATTTCAGTCAGCCTCTCGGGTCATCATCTGAGGCGACTGGGACTCCGTGACGGACAGCTCCAAGCTCAATTGCAGAAGGCGGTGCTCTTCGATATGATATTTATTCTATTTATAATTTATTTATATTTATTCTACTTTATTGATGTTTATGTACTCGTATGTTTATATCTTTCGTTTACAATTGTATATTTAAACAGCCCAACCAGATGAGAAAACTTTACAGATAACCCAAATAATAATAATTTATTGCTTTAAAATAAGTAGTAAGTTGTTACAATAATGATGGGTACTCTCTTAAGGCGCAAGACCTACGGCTTTACGGTGCAGGGGGGTGAGACACCGCCAACTTCCTGACTCCGGAAAGTTACTGAGAATTTCTTGACGGGAAAACTCTGGTTTTTTTTGGCCTGACCCGGGATGCGAACCCGGTACCTCATGATCGCTGTTACGACCACTAGACCAACGAAGCAAGTTTGTAATAATATATAGTAAAACGATGCTTAATACATCGAACGTGTTATCTAATAATCCTAATATAATTTACCTACGACAGAGTAGTTTAGGTTATTGTGTTTAATACATATTTTTTTAATCTGGGGTACATATTTATTAAATAATAATAATTTAATTTGCAGCCATGCGGACCTCCTGTGCCTCCAATGACAAAAGCTGTAAGTATAATAATTAATAACCTATATATAACCAAAGCTGTAAGTAGGACAACGGGCTTGGCGCAGCGTACCAAGTCCGCTGATCACACCAGACGCTCGGATCTTTCAGTCACCTTGAATGCACAGCTATGTTCGGACGTCACGCTCTCTATATTTGATTTAAACTTAACCTTTAATATCTCGCCTGTAACACAGCTTTGTCAAAGTCAACTGCTGTATGGCCTCTGTTAGTCTCAGCAACTTATACATTAAAAAAAAACCTAGGTACACAATGAAATTACCCTATTGAGCACAGCAAAGATTATATTAGCAATTAATTATTGAGAAAAGATTTATAATAGTATAATACTTAAGTGACTAATATAACAATTTACATGTGTTATATTTGAATTATGTGTACATTTAGGAAAAGTCACACTATTGAAAATAGCGTGTATTATATATAAATATATATAGCGTAAATAGTATACAATTTCACATTGAGTTAGGGCATCTTAAACCAGAATGGAATGTCAGTTTATTATGCTTCGTAACAAAATTAAGATAAATATAAGATCAAATATCCATCGTGCGACAAGTCCATTATACGGCCAACGAACGACAAAGAAAATTCTACGGCATCATACAATGAGCCCATTACACGCACGACTATAGCATTAAGTATGAAAGCAGAGGGTTTTATCAGATGTATCTGTTTTTTAAACTGCGTTTTTATGTCATTAGTGATATAGGCAAACCTAATCAAACACAAATTGTGTCGAGCGAATCGATCACAAAGCTAATAATTATTGTGTATTAATTATAAAACTTTTTAAATACTTAAATTTTTTAATTTTGATAGCAATAGACTTTACTCAGACGTGCTATCAGTATAGCAGCGGGTAACAGTGGTAATTGAATTTGTAGATTATCGCACATGTACTTATTACATATGTCTCTGGCGGTGATACGCTCTATTCACATTAAGCTTAATGGATTTGTGTTAAGCGTGTTTGCAGCTTTTAGCTTAAAAGGAATCTTTGAAAGAGAAAATATAGTTATGCATATAATACATTTTGGAAACATTTTCTTTGATTATTCATTTTTATTTCAGTGTGGAGTATGTCCACCGTGTCCAGCACCATGCAACCCTAATGCACCTCCAGTGAGTATTGACACCCTTATTTTTTAATAATCATAATCTCTGTAGCTTTTTTATCTCTGAGCAATTGGCTTGATCCTGAAACGACACATGCTTTTACAGAATAAAAATAGCACAGTTACCATCAGAGGGTACAGTGTGCTTATTTGTTGAACTTGTTTATTGCAAATGTTTCTTGGCACTAATCGACTTTGACTACGGTGATATCTTTCAAATGGTTTTTTTTATATATTAAATGCTAAAATTAAGCGAACTGTAGTATGCGTGCAAACATGAATGGTTATTTGGGTTTTATTTACTTATCGATTGTATTATAATGTTACAAATATGCCCAAATACTCAAATTCTGCTCAATTTTAAGTATCGTTAACTCTCATGCTCTCTCTATCACTTTAAGTCAAAGTGACTGTGACACCACGAGACTTAACTACGCCTTAGAATTGGGTAGCATTTGAGTATTTGGCTAATATACGATTACATTAAAAATAGTTTGGATACAATAAAAAAAATATCTTTTCATTACAGACACCAGCTGAAAAAGAAGTGCAGAAGCTCACTTTGCAATTACAACAGACTCAAGAAAGCTTTAAGACCAAAGTAACAGAGGTAATTTTTGTTTTTATTGCGTGTGTGGCGGCGCTGTCGTCGCGCGACAAGCGAAACACGTCGAAGTCCAAATCGCGCTAACAAAGTTCCGAAGTTAAAGCAGCATAATATATAGAATAGCTCCGAACTACCAATAGGAGCGTTGGCCGCTCCCCAGGGCAGAACAACTTACCCGGCGGGAGATTTTCCTTTTCCTTCTACCCACCACAGTGGCGACCCCGTCGTGATCTGAACACGCAACAAATAACCTTAGGAAAATACAAACTTCAAAATCTTCGTCATCATCCTCGAATACCCCATTCATTCGCTCCCGAGCAGATATTTTCTGCAGTCTTCACATTCTGCAAGCCATCTAGCTTTACAAAGGATCTTCGCAGCACTGGAATAATAATGCTTCCCGTTCCTTCAAGCTTTTCTCTGCACTACAGTGTTCGGCACGGCTCTGAGCCTTACTGCTCGTCTCTGCTTCACGACACTCTCGCAGATTACTTGCCTACTTCTCGAATCACCGCAGACTACAAGGCAATCCCTGGCACTTGCTCCGGCTCACCGTTCTCGCCGGCATCACTTGCAAGTGCGTAGTACGGCGTACATTATACACCGGCATATCGTTCGCACCGGCGTCACTTGCGCTTTCGCATACAGCATGCATTCCCCACCGGCAATCGGACTGCACTATCGACCTCCGGTCTCAGCAGGGGGGTGATGTGGCGGCGCTGTCGTTGCGCCGCAAGCGAAACACGTCGAAGTCTAAATCGCGGTAACAAAGTTCCGAAGTTAAAGCAGCATAATATATAGAATAGCTCCGAACTACCAATCGGAGCGTTGGCCGCTCCCCGGGCAGAACATCTTGCCTGGCGGGAGATCTCCCCTTTTCCTTCTACCCGCCACACGTGTAAGATTTGTATGGAAAACTATTTCTGAGACCAAGTAAACTTTCACTTGCTGAATATGGTAAAAAGTGTTGTTTTTAGTACAGAGTTAATCAACCATAAAAACCCATGAGTTTTATGGAGGTAATGGAGACATGTCGCTGGTTCTAGGCTCCGTGGCGCAGTGGCTTAGGAATGAGTTGCAGCGCTGAGGGCCGCGGTTTCGAATCCCGCACGACACGAGTATTTATATGGCCTATAAGTAATTGTTCCGGGCCTGGATGTTTATCCTTCTGAAATTTATGTACGATTTGATTACGAATGACCCCACGATACAGATGAAATTCCTAGTGTAGAGGTAACGGTGTTTATTCACTATTACAGTCTTTCTCTTTCTCAGTGGCGTAGCATGTGTGGTTTCTCATCTTTATTTATTAACTTTATTTATGCTAATATCTTGGTTATATATAATTCGAAATTATTCAATAAGATTAATTTTTATGCTATATTTTTAATAACATAATTTAGAAGTTTGTTCCTAGGTGGACGCCTATATTCAGCGGCGGATTTGTGTAGGAATGTAATGATGATGATTTTGATAATTTCAACAGTTAGGAAGCTTTTTTCCTAATTGCTGCTTCTCAAAATTTACCGCCAGGGCCATGTCCCTCTTCTAGCTACGCCATTGGCTACGCTACAATTTCAATTTTTTTTTAATAAATATAACTATAACAAGTGAATGCCGGTTCGCTATATAATATGATTCGTACTTTTTCTCTTTTTTTTTGAACACGAAAAAGTACGCTTACTATATAATATGCGCATACTTTAAATTTAACGATTATAGAAAACTTGATGTTCTGAATTAAATATAAATGTTACGATTTTAGTGCGCGTTGCTTCGAACAGATCTTCTCAAGAAAAAAGAAGAATTAGAAAAGGAGCGTTGTCAGCATCGTGAAGCTCAAAATAAATTACGCGAGTTAGAAATGAAGTTTGAAGGCTTGACGACGCACACAAATATGTTATTAGGGACAAAAGAGCAAGCACTTGAACAAGAAGTGAACGTCAGAACACTGAAACAGTGCTATAGAGAAGCAAGGGAAGAAATAGATGAACTAAGGACTTTGATGAAAGAACAGAATGACCAGCTTCAAGACTATAGAGTTAAAGTTAGTATCCTAACTGAATAAAATTAAAATATTTTCTTGCTATAAATATGTATGTGTATGATGTTTTTTTTCTACATATTTTTATTATTTAATAGTACCTTCAAGCTCAACAACTTGTAGAAGAACAAAAGCGTCAAATGGACATGATGGACATGGACAATACAAGGATAAGTGAACAAATAAACCTTGAGATACAAAAAGTGAAGGCAAGAAGTTTTTGTATATTCGTAATTTTTTTTTAATTTTATGGTAGGTTATTTATAAGAAAATATTTGAAGTAACTAAGTACTATATGATATTTGTTTAATATAAATGTACTTTTCAAAGTTATAAATAATAATTGAATACTAGCAGTGAAAACTTATTATAATTCTACGAGTGTCAGAAATAGTGGTTAAGAATACACTTATTTATTAACAGATAAAATTCCAAGAAAAGCTACAAGAATTAGCACCGATTCCAGATTTGTTAAAGGCGACTCAGATGAGATTAAAAGACGCACAGCAGTCGCAAGCAATAGCCGAGCACAACGCGGAACAGTTGGCTAGGGAACTTAATTGCGCCAGAGAAAAGGTTAGTTGAAATTACCGTTGACGGTAAAACCATGCCTTGCAGTTAGCAGTTTCCTAGTAATTAACATTTCTCCTTGGATTTTTTTTCTTTATTCATCCATCTAATGAACATAGGCTGTCTCTATGCTAATTTTTAAAAACACGCTTTGAGTTCCTATATAAGGTGTTAACTTGATGAGCTATGCACGTAGTCAAATTTTTAACTTTTAGTATGTCATTACCTAAAAATTAAGGAAGGTTCTGTCTGTATGTATATTATTGATAACTACATATTACAAGAGCAATGATTTATTTTTAGATTCATGTACTTTTGCATAATACTATAAAACCACCGGAGAAACCTCCAGAGAGGAGCGCAGATGAGAAACAGATGGCGCTGCTGAACCAAAGAATTTCACAACTAACAGAAACGAATATGAGCCTTAAGAATGAAATCGAGAGACTGAAGTAAGTATTTTTAATGTGGCTAAATATTCGTATATAAAGATTTTTTTAAAAGAGAATAAGAAATAATTTTCTTTTATTGATTTCCTAAAAATCATTTCTTCAGTTTTAAATAAAAGTAAGTAAAGCAACAACTGTTAAACGCTTCGGGCTCTAAACGGCAGATGTCTTATCTTATTTCTAAGAAGGTTTTAGAGCAGAAAAGGGTCAAATTATTTTTAGTTTTACAAACATTTTAAGCTTCCACACAATTTCGCCAACACCGCTGAGCACGTGATAAATCAGCAGTTATTGTGACTAACAAGTTCAGTGTCGACGGAAGTTGACTCTACTAGCTTACATAAGTCCACGCAGTCTTTACAATCACTCCGACTCTTTGTAAAAAATATGGATAAAACTCAGGATTTTTACGAAAGTTATCTACAACAAAATTGTTTAATTTTTCTTTGCTCTTTAAAATAAAATTCCTTAGACTTGATTTAATAAAAAAAGTATTTTTGTGGTAATAAACATTACATGTACTTGTATTATATTTTAGAGCAAATGTAATACGCATGGAAGAAGCCGTATTAGCAAACGAAAAACGGTTACAAGAGAAGATGCACGAGTGCGCACAGCTCGGCGGCGAGTTGGATAGAGCCCGGGATGAGGCTGCGAGAGCATTACAGCGTGCTAATGAACGCACAGAGACTATACGCAAGTGAGTATTACGCATATGAGCTGCTGGCTGCTTAGTAGTTTTCTTATACGATTCTAAAAAAGAAGGAGGTTCTCAATCCCATGAAAAATTATTTTATGAATGTTCAGCGATAATTCTTTACTACGTTCTTTTTCTAGAACCTGTAGAAAAAGTTGTAACCTCAGTGATGATTCTGGTCCCATTCACATAAGGTCAAGTCTGATGACAAAATCCATAAATACACCATTAAAATCTTCAACTTGTAAATACGTTTTCACGACATATTTTAAGCCACGTTATTTTGATGATTATAGTAATTTTTGTGCTTTTTAAGTCGGTTGTTACTTAATTTCAATTTTAATGTTGTGTAAATCGTATCTTTCTTTTTACGTTTTTATAACGAAAGTATTGTATAATGATTTCTTATATTTACGCGAATACTACACAGAATAAAACTAATTTTTTGGATTTAATCGCGTGTAATTTTATCTTTTTAATTCCTGTAATTTACGTTTCGGGCACTTTTCAGCACGGGGTGGACTTAGGTGGTTTTACTAAAAGTTGAAAGTATTGTAACTAATCTAAAGAGATTGTAGAACATAGGAAGGAGTTAATACCTTAAGACTAGTTAGAAATCTAATAAGAGCGTATTATTGGTTATTTGAAAGTAACAAAAACATTGTTAACATTGTAAAAGTAATGTGAAGCATTATTAAGTTGTATATTTAAACCAGTAATGAGGATATATGCAGTAGGACCAGATAACCTATATACCCAACGGTTCAGTAAGTTGAAGTGGCAATAGGCCAGTCATATAGCTCAAAAAATCAACAACCGACGAGGAAGGAAGGTTCTCCAATGGCAGCTTCATACTGGGAAACGAAGTGGAGGGCGCTACCTCATTAAACGGAGTGACGAACTGGTAAAAGATCCATCTCTTACCAGGTCGTCACCTGTATCCTGGATGGAGGAAGTTGATGGATACAGGTGACTCAGGACCGTTTTTGTGGCATTTCTTGGGGAAGGAATATGTTCAGCAGTTTACTTGTGATTGGCTGAAATGATGATGGTGATAGTTACGTGAGAACCGTGATAGTTCAGGAGCTAAGCGCTCGCCGTTTATGTCATAGAACGCCAGCTACCCAAGTTCTATACCTGCTGTTCGATTCCTGTACTGTATCTTAATACTTTTAGAATAAGTTAGTTAATATTTATGTATGGCCTTAATACTTTCATGCTATCTAACGGATTGTTTAAATGATAAAAAATATGATCGTAGATGTATGCAGACTACGATTGCTGAATTAGAAAGACAGCTTGCAGCCTCCAGGGCACAAGTTAAGAACGCTGAAAAAGATCGCGAAGAAGTAAGTACTCTTTAGTAGTTTAAGAAAGTGTAAATAAGACGTAATAATTTACTTTACTCACATGTAGAGCTGTAAAATATGATTTATGGACAACAACGTTTTTGCCAATTGATTGATCATTACTAATGTGTGCGTGCGCAGTAAAATCAGTTAAAATAATGCATTACCACGCATTTTGGAATTAAAAGATAAGTAGGACAGAATGTGTGAGTTTCTTTTAAATAAATATTTCTTTAACATTTGCCTATATATTGCTTGCACTTGCGCGAATGTTATAGGCATAGTACAATTGACTTACAGTAAGTGGCGCGCGTATCATGCCGATTTGTAAGTTATATATCGTTATCATCTGTAATTAAGGAATACAACTCTTCCAAATTTAAAAAGAATAAACAAGAATGGCTGCAATATTAACTGTAATGTTGATTGAATAAATTAAAATAATCTTGTGACTTTTTTAAAACTTCTTTTTTTTTTAAACTAGACTTCCTTTAGACTTAATACTTCGGTAATTTGAAGTTAATTATATTATGCTAATTTGAATTACTAAATACCATAAAAAAAAAACTTTCTTATTGTTACAATTACAGCTTCAATGTCGCATGCAGTGTCAGATAAAGCGACTGAATGACAATTTCGAACAGGCTCAATTGAGAATTCTAGGGCTACAAGGTCAAGTGCAAACATTAAGACGGACTGTCTCCAGCACAGATGGTGAAGGGGACGGCGATATACAAGAATGTGCTTGTAAGAGTTTCTTTGAAAACCCTTAGCAAACTTGGTAGAGCTGTGATTCGTCGTTATATATTTCTTTTTCCTTTTATATATTTTTTATGGTTATTAATGTAATAAGGTTGTTTTTATCCGAAGTTGCATCGCCAATTATTATTGTATTGATAATCTTTCACTTTTTTGTAGAAATTTATTAAAAATACGAATAAATTTTTAGTTAAACATAAATTCGTATTTAATTAAGTATTTAATAATGAAAATTGAAAAGGAGGTAAAATAGTTTACATTGAGCGTTCAATAAAAGAGTCATTATTAGTTTTATATCAACATTTATTTAGTGATTTCCTTATAATATTTTCTGTTTATATCTTATAATAACTATCTTATTATAAAATAGATCATTAAATTTGGTCTATGAACTACCACAGTAATAATGAAACTTGTTTTCTGTAACATTGAAAAAAAAAACTGAAGTGAAATCGCAGCAATGAAATGAATTTAATCAAGGCTACGTTTTCTTCTCGGGTACTGCTATTTCTTTTGCAATATGCACGTTACCCATAGTAGCGAAGCAAGATCGCAGCGATTCTTGTGCAATATGAGTCTCGCGATGCGGCATGCGTGCTACTTCGTGGTACAAGTCGACAGCTTCGCATAGATAGTCTATAGCTTCAAGAGGCCGCTGTTCATCCATCAGTTTCGCTCCGTCCTGTAAAAGCATAATTTAAATTTTTTTTTGTATAATTGTTTGAGTAACCTTTTTTGTTCGTTAATTGCATCACTTTTAAACGCATTTAATCATCATCATCATTACAGCCCTTCACAAGTCCACTGCTGAACATAGGCCTCCCCCAAAGAATGCCACAAAGCACGGTCCTGAGCCACCTGCATCCATCGACTTCCTGCATGTCTGACCAGGTGGTCACTCCATCTCGTGGGGGGACGCCCTATACTTCGCCTACCGGTACGAGGCTGCCACTCGAGAACCTTTCTTCCCCATCGGTTGTCGGTTCTTCGAGCTATATGGCCGGCCCACTGCCACTTCAGCTTACTAATCCGTTGGGCTATGTCGGTTACTCTGGTTCTACTGCGGATATACTCATTCCTAAGTTTATCACGCAGAGAAACTCCGAGCATAGCCCTCTCCATAGCTCGCTGAGCGACCTTGAGCTTCCTCATACGGCCAGCAGTGAAGGACCACGTCTCAGTTCCGTAAGTCATCACTGGCAACACGCACTGGTTGTACAATTTCGTTTTCAGGTTTTGAGGTATGTCTGACGAGAAGATGTGTCGTAGCTTCCCGAACGCTGCCCAGCCTAGTTGAATCCGTCGATTGACCTCTCGGTCGAAGTTGGACTTACCTAATCGGACTATTTGTCCCAGGTAGACATACTCGTCAACAACTTCGAGCTTAGTGCTCCCAACAACTACCGGCATAGGTGTGACATGGACATTGAACATGATCTTTGTTTTGTCCATGTTCATCTTAAGACCTATCCGTTGGGAAACACTATCGAGGTCATTGAGCATAGTGCTTAGGTCCTCCAGCGATTCTGCCATAAGGACTATATCGTCGGCAAATCGAAGTTGAGTGATGTACTCGCCATTGATGTTGATACCGTATCCTTTCCAGTCCAGAAGCTTGAAAACGTCTTCCAATGCAGCGGTGAAGAGTTTCGGGGATATGACGTCACCCTGTCTTACACCTCTCTGCAATTGGATAGGTTTCGTACTCTGATTCTGTACTCGGATAGCCATCGTAGCCCTACTGTACAAGCACTGCAACACTTCGATATACCGACAGTCAACTTGGCACCGCTGAAGGGACTGCAGCACCGCCCAAATTTCGACGGAGTCAAAGGCTTTCTCATAGTCCACATACGCCAGACATAGTGGCAAATTGTACTCTTCGGACTTCTGTACAATTTGCCGAAGGGTATGTATGTGGTCTATGGTGCTAAAGCCCTTTCGGAAACCGGCTTGTTCGGGAGGCTGGAAGTCGTCAAGTCTGCGCGCGAGACGATTCGTAATGACTCTCGAAAACAGCACGTAGACGCGGCTCAGTAGGTAAATCGGTCTGTAGTTCTTCAAGAGAGCGTTGTCACCTTTCTTGAAGAACAAGACCACCGCACTTCTGCTCCACGCCTCCGGTGTAATGCCACCATGGAGGACGGAATTAAAGAGCTTCTGAAGGACTTCAAGTACCGGTCTTCCACCCGCTTTCAGAAGCTCCGATGTAATTCCATCCTCGCCTGGGGCCTTACCGTTTTTAAGGTACTGGAGAGCCATTCTAATCTCGCTCAGACTGACGTCCGGGATATCTTCGGAATAGTGTCGGATGAGACTCGCTCTTGGATCGTTACTCACACTTGCGTGTGGCTCCAACGAAGAAGTGTACAGCTGCCCATAGAACCTCTCAATCTCACTCAAAATCTCAGGTGTCCCGGAAACTATGCTGCCACATTCTGTCTTCAGCTTTGACAGTTGGCTCTTTCTGGCAGACAGATCTCTGGCAAAGACTTTGGAGCCTTGGTTCCGCTCGATCGCTTCTTCAATACGAGCTGTATTGAAGTTGCGTAAGTCCCGCCGCATGCATTTGGAGATCTGTCTGTTCAAATGCCTGTATGCTGTCAAGTCTGTTGAAGAATGTAGCTTCATCTCCCGTCTAACAGCCATGAGATTAAGAGTGTGATCGGAGAGTTTTTGTGTTCTTCTGCGGCGGGTCTTGCAGAACTTAGCTCCGACCGCATGGACAGTTTCCACGAGCTTGTCATTCATATCGTCCACTTCATTGCAGTCTTCTAGGCACTGAAAACGGTTTTGTAACTCGAGCTGAAAGGTTTCGGGACTTTGGAACAGAGCACGAGGGGGACGGAGCGTTGACTTCATTAGACGAGATCTCTCCAACTTAACGTTTAGGTTCAGTGTGCCTCTAACCATTCGGTGATCGCTACCAGTTTTCACCCTCGCGATCACGGAGACATCACTGAACAGTTGTCGTCTGGTCGTCATAATGAAGTCAATCTCATTTTTTGTCGAACCGTCGGGGCTCGACCAGGTCCACTTCCTGTGGGGCCGCTTCTGGAAGAAAGAGTTCATCATAAAGAGTCCCTCTTTCTCTATGAAGTCGGCCAGCTACTGGCCCCTTGGGTTCCGATGCCCCATTCCAAATTTCCCTACTTTCAGGTCACCGTTCTCTCTTGTGCCTAGTTTTGCATTGAAGTCTCCCATCAACACCGTATATTGGGTTTTGGAGGATTGAATGGCTCTGGAGATATCCTCATACATTTCCTCCACCTCCCCATCGGGGGGTGCCGAGGTTGGTGCGTAAACCTGTATGATCTTCAGCGAATACCGTTTGGTGATTCTGAGTATAAGGTACGCAACCCTCGTCGACACACTCCCGATCTTAACAACGTTGTTGACGAGAGACTTGTGGACGATAAATCCGACACCTCCTTGGGACAGATGGTCGCCCTCCCGGTGATAGAGAAAGTTGCCGGATTCGAGGATTACCGTGTCCTCCCCCTCTCTTCGGACTTCGGATAATCCTATAATATGCCAGCGCAACTTGTCTATCTCTTCTTCCAGCTCCACGATCTTCTCGTCAGTCCTCAGGGTGCGTGCGTTGTACGTTGCCAGGTCGAGTCGTCTAAGGTGGCAACCGAACCTCCACCGGAGATTCTTAGCACCCCCTGCCCCGCCGTTACCATGGTCGCCACCGTAGCCAGGAATAGCGGGGCCGCCGGGGACTGGGGGCCGTCTCTTTGTTACATTCATAGGGGGGTATTTGCCATAGTTGCCACGCTTGGCGAGCGGGTTGGCAACCGCAGTTTTTTTATTGTAATTTTGGCTATTATCAGGAAGATGCTGCTGCCCATCTCCTGCCTGTTTCCCTTTGTCGCCTTTTACGACACCCACGGGAGGATATGGGGTAGTGGATATTCTTGACCGCCACTACACGGCAACGTAACGCAACGCATTTAATATTGATATTAAATTTTATGATATATGCGGCGCCATTGTTTTATATATAAAAAATAAAAATTCATTCCATGTGATGCCGGAGTGACAATGTAACCAGTTTAATGCTATCATCTATACAAATAAATAAAATTTAAGTGTTTGTTTGTAATGACAAAATAACAGCATTTTACTACATGCGGACAGTCTTTAGTTTCTGTGATGTTAATGCTGTTAGCCTATACGGCTCGTACAGCTTCATCGGACTCAGGGTTCGTGGCCTGACCACATGCGGAAAATAGGTATATACGGTTCTTATAACTAAAAAGATTTTTTTTAATTTTGCCTGTCTGTTTCTTTGTTCCGTCTCTCTTCACTAATCTCCGAAATGGTTGGACCGATTTTGACGAGACTTTAACTGGCAGATAGGTGATGTTGTAAGGTGATGTTGTAACTTAGACTACTTTTATTTTTGAAAAAGAGTAAGTCATGAAATCCATCGTAATAAATTCCACGCGGATGAAGTCGCAGGGAACAGCTAGTTTAGTGATATATTGGCTACTAGCTACCTTCGCCGACTTCGCCTGGTTAAAATCTATTAATGTGTCATTATTTACATTAAAGATATTCAACATATCATTTTATTAATTTTTCGAATTCACAAAAATATCTCCCAGTTTTTGGGATAAAATATCCAATATATCACTCCTGGCAATATATATATCCTCCATTGTACTCTATCTGTTCGTGAAGTTTCATTACAATACATATTATATTCAGCCATTTCGAAGATTAGCTGTAACACACAGACAGACAGATATTTTTTTTTAAATGGTTATCCATGTCTTAATTGCATTTATTGGCCTAAGTGAGTTGCACTTAGGTCAATAAAAGGCAGTTATTTTGGTATTACAGACAGACACTTCCATTTTTTACATTTATAGCTACATTTGCTACACCAGTTATCTCCATCAACTGCAACACTTAGTCCCAGTAGTTATACATACTTGAGTTTATTAAAATTTTGTTATCGGTGCAGTATAAAAAGATTATATAGAATATGTTTAATAGATAGTCGGTGGCGTAAAAAATCTACTACTCCATATCATCCTATGGTTATAAGATTATACCACTTTTGTTGAAAAAGTTGGCTTTGCTCTTATCGGGGATCAATTTTATTCTCCATTTTCTGCACCAATCACCTAATGCGTTTGCTGCAGCTTGGAGTCGACTTGGTTGTATCATCTGCGTATAGTGCGAGATGAGTACCTGGTATCAAAGGGATATCACTTACGTAGAGTGAGTATAGGGTCGGTGAGAGCACAGAACCCCGGGGAACTCCTGCTCTGGGTCTGGAAGAGGAGAAAGTACCCTCAACGCGAAAATGAAAGGATCTATTAGCAAGAAAGTCTTGAACGATTTTGACAAGTCTTAAAGGCACACCTGTATGGATTAGTTTGAACACTAGTCTATTGTGCCAGACTTTGTCGAAGGCCTTGGCCACATCGAAGAACAGTGCTCCTGTATAAATAGTGCACTTGGTCGACTTTGCGACCTGATCTAAAATCTGCTCCGTGAGGCGGTGCATCTGCTGAACACTTGAGTGTTTGGCTCGAAAGCCAAACTGCTCGTTTGGAATTAGATTTTTTCCTAGCACTACATCCTTCAGACGACTGAGGATGATGCGGTCATAGATTTTCCCCATAGCTCTGAGGAAACTGATGGGTCTATAACTAGATGCCCTACCGTTGGGTTTGTTCGATTTGGGAATACCAAAAACTTCTGCTTCTTTCCCCACTTCTGGGAAAGTGCAGGTGGATATTTAAACATTGAAAATAGCCACTAGGAGAAAATCAACTTTGGAGGAAGGGCTTTAAAGACCTTATTATTAATGCCGTCAGCGCCTGGCGCTTTTCGGGGCTTGACATTTTTGATGATGGTTTTCACCTCATCGAAAGTAACGGGAGGGAGTGGATCATCCGTTAGAGATGTGGCGAACAGATTGGCCACTTCCTCGTTTACCTTATTCAGGTGGACGGGGTCAGTTGGTAGGGTGCTTGGAGAGCATTGTCCCTGATGCTATCCGCCATGCATTCGGCTTTCTCCGAGTCATCGAACGCTAACTGACCATCACATCTAACTAATGTTACTGAAATACGAATACTAAAGATACAAGAATGACGAATTTACTGTTTATCAAAAAAGTGTCAGAAGAGCCATTGAACTAAATGAACTAGTGGTACATATGAATGATACGTATTTTTGATTGCAAAGATACGTATATCTCTTTTCATTTCAGTGATTATTTAGCGTACGTCAAAATGATGACAAATATCCTACTAGGAAATCTATTGGGGAGGGATGGGAATGTACTAAAATGTGTTTAAATATATATTGAAAATTACTTTTAATGATCTTAATTATAAGTCATTATATATAAGTATTATTATGCAAATTAGCAAAGATTTAGTTTATTTTCAGCTTAGAAAAAAACAAATAAAATGATAAACAAATGATTTCATCACAATAAATTCCCTGCTTTTAAATAAAGTTACCTGGTGCATAAACAACGAAACGCTTTTGTATTTCACATGGTCATTGGTTTATACTGAAAACTGACCTAATTGCGCTAGTTCTAGTTAATTATTCATTGTATGCAGCTTACAGTGACAGCTAAATGCACGCTGAATAGAAATTAGCTAACACAAAGGGGATAGCCATTAAAGCGTTGCGTTAGATGTAATTTCTCTTTTGAAATTTGATCTCTAACGAATCCATTTTAAACAGTATATAAAAAAATATTCGAAAAAATTCAAGTTTTGATCAAAATACTACTTCTGACCGAAGCCTGCAGTTAAAGTCATTTTTGACTGCCTCCATCAACCAAAGGTAGTTTTGACCGGAAAGCCGTTCTGACTGTAACTTTTGTTTCTTGGAAATGCTTTAACAATTTGGGCGAAATTTTGTGTTTATATTTTACTTTTTAAGATAGGCTAACATAATGGCTCTGACTGTTCGAACTGCAAACTCAGAATGTCGTGTGTGCGTATCCGCGATTCGACCACTCAATAGTAAGAATACTTTGGGTGGTTAACGGAAGTATTAGTAAAATGTTGATTGATTTGCTGGTATTCTATTTTTTTATTATATCTGTACTAAGCAAGCTAAGCAAAGTGCGGTCGCTTGGTAAGTAAATTTCATGGTGCGTGGATTTCGAAGGAACCTTATTAATGTTTTGTTTCGTTTAACGTTTGCCCTGATTTGCTCTTTAACTAGTCTTGGTGAATAATGTTTTTTGTATAACCACTACGGTAAAACCGAAAAAACTTGTAGTAGACGCTTTTGTTTTATTTAATTTAAAGCGCCCTACGCGAACTCTTTGAAAAGGGATGTAAGGGGAATATGCAAACTGTTTTTACAAATTCTAACCTCACCTTCATAACATGCACTATATTGTTCACTGCTGGACGTGGCTGATGTTTTATATTCAGACGTTTCTATAATAAGTACATAAGTCTATTATATGTAACATGTTGTATACCTTTGATAGTGAGTTAGAGATACTAAATGAAATTCCATTGTTTATTTAAAGGGAATAATGTTTTTTTTTATAGAATTAGGGTGACAAACGAGCACACAGTCCACCTGATGGTAAGTGGTTGCTGTGGCCCATAGACATCAACATCTATCCTCAATTACGAGTCAAAATGCAGATGCGTTGTCACCCGTGAAGACTAAGATGGAATGCCTCGTTTCCAGTAAAAAGGGTCTCCGGTTCTCTACACTCACCATACGAAACACAGCAGCGTTATGCTGTTAGTTTACGCTGGTATTCTGTGAGAGCTTGGTCCTTCCCCGGTCGAGCCGACCCATTCGTGCTACAACTATACCAGTAATATAGCTGCAGCATGGCTCTACCACGTTTAAAATATGTGTTATATCAATATTTAAGAATTAATGTGATATATCAATATTAAAAAACTGTGAAAAAAAAACAAGTGTTTTATATTGCCTATCAATTATACACTTCGATTGAATCAACTGAACTGTACTTACAATTTCGTAACACATTAAATGCTAATGGACAAAACCCACCTTTGTAAATATGTACAGCTTTAATGAACGGGTGGTTTTAACATTTTAAGTAGAGATTCTGACAATATTATAATAGGTGTAAATTTAAACTGACATAAAATAAAACCGAAAGTGAATAAAGATCGTGGTGCATTAATTAAAATCGACAATGTTTAAATCATTAATGTAATAGTTCTTATACTATTATTTATTCTGTGGTAATAGTGAGTAACGCGCCAAAGAAAGGGCTGAGTAATATTCCTAAAAAAAATCTTGGACTGTTTCAAAATAATTTTCCCGATTTATTTCATTTTACAAAAAAAAATTGAATATTTTTCTGGAACACTTTTATATTACAGGCGTAAAATGGCGAGCCTGGTGACGGGGACTTTCGCCACTTGCGAGACCGGTACAACTATTAACTGAAACTGGTCGTTGTATTTAGTGGAGGCGTAAAAATATCCATTACTCCATATTCACGAAAACGAAAACATGGAAACTTGCACGTCTGAGGAACGAAATATTTCAAAGCGCGACGGACTAATTGCTCCAAAACTATTTTAGAAATGAAAAGAGGGCTGTGACCAGCTGTGGAACGTATTCATATACGTCAATATACTTTTTAATATTTTAGGAAATCGTATATACATAAAAAGTATATTTAGAGTAATACAATGTCGAACTTACCTGGTATTTTGATAAACATCTTTCAACTGTATCCAAATACACCTTCACCAAGTTTCTTTCTATTGTTACAGAACATTTAGAACATTTGTTGGGTAAACTTTTGGGATTTGCTATAAACTTCCACGAACAATCAATATTAGGGCATCTATAATAAAAAGGGTGTTACAGTATAATAAAAATAAATCTCAATAATCCTAATCTTGTGTAATTTAGAATGAAATGGAGGTATAACCTTAAAAATGGGGCGCTCATATTCATTTGTTTTAAAGTTGGCCAGTCTTCTCTGCACGCAGTACAATCACACTTAAACCAATATCTGCAGGCTAGACTTCTTTGACGCTCTTTCAGGTTGCGCATTAAGAAATGTGGTCCATAGTTTTCAGACACGACTTCACCTGGTGCTAGTGGTCGTATAGCCCGGAGAACTATGTTCGACCCGTCGAAGTACCTAAAAACTCATACTGTCCATTAATTGTGTAGGTACAATCAAGTTAGATATGGAATGTAAAACAGTTTAGAAAAAATAAAATAAAATTATTGGGTCTATTTTAGATCATTTTCATTATTATAGATTTAAGAGCGGCCTATGCCTATAGGCAGATTACTTATTTAGAAGATTAGATGAATATAGAGTCTTATTGTGCAATACTGGAAATACTTATGCAAAAACGCAACATCTCTAATACAAAAATAGTTGCTGTCTTTTAGTCTTGCTAAAACTCCAAGACAGCTCGAACGATTTTGATGAATTTTTTTGTGTGTGTTTGAGTGTTTAGATTCACAATTGGACCTGGTAGGTGGTGCTGAGATGCAGAAATCATCCGTGCGAAGCCGGGGCGGATCGATAGTATTAAATAATATAATTGTTTTATTTTGTACTAGCTTTTTTTGTTTGGAATTTTGTCGTTGTAGAAAACTTGAAATTTTCTCCAACAATGAGATTAAGATATCCTCTATCATATTTCATGACATGCATGCAAAATTTAATTAGGTCCGTTCAGCCTTACCTTACCTTAGCCTTACCTTATACGTAGGTGAAATGTTTTACTTCATAACAAATTCGTGACTAGCATTATAGCAATTTTTACAGTAAGTTTATGTTTACTAGTATATTACAGATTAAGATTCGATTAAATAATGGGTGGAAATAAAAAAAAACTAGTTAATTATATATAGGTATTACCTATATGTAATTATTATACAACTATTATTACGGTTTGTGTGTTGTAAATGATCGTGTAATTTCTGAACGGCTTGACCGAATGAAGTAAGGTGGCGCTGTAGACAAGCTATAAATAAAACATTATATACTCTGTTTATGTGAGATAAAAAACAATAGATTTGTTTATGGATCCCGCCTTTTACTATTTGGTTCGCGTAGTGTATATTTTCTTTGTCTTTGGTGTTCTAAACCGGCTGGTACAGCTTACATAGTAAAAATTATACGCACGAAACGGGAGCAAATTTTAATGACAGTTATCACTTCTAACTACCTTTTGCAATATTATCTCTATAAATGACATTGTCAAATCAAATAGGTTCAAATGTCAAATCAAACAGATCTTTCTCTTTTAATTTTCCTATAGGAGCCATTGTTCATTTACAGAATAGGGTATTACTCACATTTTCAAAAAGTGTTTTAAATGAATACTAGAGTGATAATGAACCATTATAATTTTTATATAATTTTTTTAAAACCGGATACTGCTATAAAAATACCTTTATTCTATATTTTAAATTTTCGCGTGAAAGTACTAGCCGCCCTGTTGTTGACGTGACTTCACTGCCCTAGAATTTTGCAAAGGAATAAGAGATACTTTTGGATGTTTAATAATGAGTTATCATCTATATCATTATTGTGTTGTGCCTGATTGCAAAAATTCGAGCATAAGAATGCCGAGGAAGTTATGGATTCAAGTGCCAAATGACTTAAATATGAGAAATACTTCGTTAAAACTGGCAATAATTTACAAAAACTAGACTACACTTCTGTGAAGATTATTTTGATGTAAGTATGACTTATATTTAACTATTATTTATACAAAACAAAACATCGTGAGGTATTATTACAAGTCAAATTTTGTAATAGATTATGTTATCTTAGATATTGTAGCTTGCTTCATGATTGTAACTAATGATTGCTAATGATTTTAATCATAGTAATCATAGATAAACTTAACTATGTATTTTCAAAATACATAGTTAAGTGATCTGGTATTGTATTATTGTATTGACAAAAGTTGGTAATAGTTCTGGTACTATTATTTATTCTGTGGTAATAGATACTTACTTACATTGATGTTTTAACATTCCTCAACTCAGCAGAACAAAAATCGGGATTGCATGCATAACATTTTGCCAACGTCAATATATTTATCCTTAGTAGATTAGTACTTTCTGCTTTTACGAATCTGTCTTCCGTGATGTCATTTCAATAAGATAAAGAATAAAGATTTTTTCAAGTTATCATCACGAAAACAGTAAACAATTATTGTGATGATAACTTTAAAAATTTCGTAATAACACACAGCACATTAGCAAGTTTACTTAAGCAGTGACGTCACGACGGTATCTAATATGACGGACAGCGTTTTGCAAATTTGACTCACATATAAAAAAAATATTCTTAAAATTGAAATATATAATTTATAATGCATTTTTATAAATAGAAATCAATATTCCTCGTTTACTTTTACAAAATCTGTCATAAATATATGTCGGAGCGTCTATAAAACATACACTTATTTGTGCAGTATAAAGTTCACTGTTGGCGCCGTGCGCGGGAGATACCGCCTGAGTTGTTCTACGAGTGTAGTCATTCTACTAGTGCTAAGATAGTGTCGTGGTTCTGTTTGTTGTTGTAATTCTTCTAGTGCTGCCTGCACTAGAAGAGTGTGTTGCTGAGAGGCTGCCCTGTGTTACACTGAGATAAGTAGTGTTGCTGTTGATCTGCATATTTTGGTGTTATCATGTAATTACGTACCTAACGGTACACTACGTGTGTGATTGTGGCGGGGACGTGTTACGGTGTGGTCGAACTGTAATTACTCTATACTGAATGTAAAGTGCGTTACGCTGTCTTATTACTGTTATTGATTAATTGCGTAAGCAAGAGAGCAAGTTGAACACCCGCTCTCACACTTGTATTATTTTTAATAATTAATGGTATCCTTTTATATTTCCGAGATCAAAATTGGGATCCTCTGCTGAATCTCCGAGATCAGAAGTGGGGTCTCCTGTTGTAAATTCCGAGATGTATATTTTTTTTTACATGGTGTAAAATACCCCATTGTAAAACAAACAAATATACATTATAAAACTTGCCAATTAGATGGCATATTTGTAGTAATGTACTCCAAACTGAACTTCAATCAAGAACCGGATATCACCGGAGACTAGCCATCTACGTAGGACAGGCTTAAAGTGTACGATTGTATGCACAAACACTCTATTTCCTATCTTTGATAGTTCGATGGAATAGCAATTCGAAATGAATTAGAAACTATATTATCAATTGTTACTGCTTACATGATATTTGTTCAATAAAAATGTAATTTAATTTATATTATTTTTTCGGATGTAGCAAATTGGTGAAATTTGTTGGAAACGTGGTAGGGCCATGCTGCAGCTATATTAGTAGTATAGTTGTAGCACGAATGGGTCGGCTCGACCGGGGAAGGACCACGCTCATACAGAATACCGGCCTAAAATAGCAGCTTAATGCTGCTGTGTTTCGTATGGTGAGTGTAGAGAACCGGAGACCCCTTTTACTGGAAATGAGGCATTCCATCTTAGTCCTCACGCGTGACAACGCATCTGTATTTTGATTTGTAATAGAGGATAGATGTAGATGTCTATGGGCCACAGCAACCACTTACCATCAGGTGGACTGTGTGATCGTTTGTCACCCTTATCCTATAAAAATTGAAGACCTGGCAGATGTACCAATTGAAAAGCTTCACAGGTTAAAACATGTTTGTGCAAAGATTGCAAATCCGAGGATTTAAACCCAACTAAAACGAACTGTTACTAAGCTTCCACAATCATGTCTATGTTAGTTGGATTTTCGTTAATTGTAGCAAAAGATAATATCCCTCCAAAGTCACATTTTGGTAAGAATTCGATTATATAATTATCTAAACTCGAAGTTATCTGTAATTACCTGATTATAAATATTGACTACTTTTTTCTTATATATTCATCTACAAACATTAACTATAATGAGCACTTCTTTTGAGAGCGGCTATTAATAAACGATCTCTGCGAATAGTATGTATAGTTCATTTCAAATAGGATGGCAGGATTCCACTTGAGACTTAGCAATTACAGCTGTAATGTTAATCTATTGTTGTGTGATTATTTTATTGCTTTAACACTTGAAGTTAAGCATCTATTGATAATACTGAACCAGTATAGCTGGAATGACGAATTTTGGTACTTGAACATTAAAACAAATTAAATTGTAGATAAAATATTATACCTCTATAATATTATACCTCTGTGAAGAAGCCTAGCTACTTGTACGTAGTATTTCTTGCACTTAATAGCCTTTTCTGCTAAAAAACTAACCTTAAGAACAAGGATCCAGACGCAGACTATTTATTTTACAGCATAGACTTGTTCAGTGCGGGAACCAACACTCGGTCTAGCAGTGTCGCGGCAAAACGCTGAGGCACAGCATTACGGAGTCGTCATTTATTTTTTACTTAATTAATTATGTACATTATTCGCAACCGACCTCCCCTGGGCATCTTCAGCGTGGTCGTAACCGATTCCCCTGCTTAAAGTCTGTTTTTTTTATCTCTGAGACTAAATTGACAAATGTCAAATTAAATTATTAAATATTAGAAGAATTGTATCAAAAGAAGCCATGAAATAATAGAAGAAAAAAAAAGACATTTGTTTGTCAACGTCTTTCATATTGAAATTTCTTTCTGTAATTTATTCAAATTTATTTCATAGCTTTAGATTTTAATATTTATTATTGACTTTTGCTTAAATTCAGTTATTATGGACACAGAATACTTCATTTTCGTTTGTAGGCGAATACATAGTCATAATATCGTCGTGAATAAGTAACGATTTTTGTGAGATGTTAAGTCTGTATAAGATGTTGACTATAAACATCGATACATAGAAGTATTAGGCTGGCTGTGTAATTACTCTAAGCATATATGAACTACGCATTAGATTTCGCATTCCGAACATTCAGTATGTTCAACTGAACTGTACTGCAATCCGTATACTTTACTTTTAGTCAAAGAAAATATACACTTCGCGAATGCTTTAGTGTCATTTATAGTGGCTTCAATATTTATGCAGTGTGGAGCTGCGTTAATAATACTAGCAAAGATATTTAAGTAGTAGTAGTAATAGACCGGGCATCAGCAGCAAAATAGTCGTCTGTAACTTTTGTCGTGGCATTTAAATGAAGAAATTTCTTCATTT